CTCCGCTTTGTCGCCCAATTCGAAAAGTCGTCATGGGCAAGAACAAAAAGACGTCCTCTGCTGCGTATCGAATATGAATATCGCTGTGTGGGTGGGGAAAATAAACCGGTGAGCTTCAAGACTTGAATCATTGGACCCATGTTCTGATCGAGTTTTGGAACTTTCTATGTTTCTCACTTCATGGCAATCGTTCAGTGTGGGCGGCCATATTTCGAACTGCAACGGGATGATGCAGTCTACACAGCTCAGGCCTTTGCTGCGACACGTTTTGGATCCACCAAGCTTAAAAGTCATCAGGTTCGGCTCCACAACTTGTTTTGCCATGTGTAGGGGAAATAAGTATTCGTGGAAACCCAGTATGCAAATAAGAAAAAACAGGACTCAATTAGCATATTTATGACACCTAAGGCATGTTTTGTGGTATCCTTATCTTTCTTTGACGAATAGAATCGACCGCAAGCAGTTATGATTCTTGGCAACATTTCCAGAACTACCGAGTACTTGATATTTGCACCCATTATTTCAATTTTTATTGCGTTCTATTCAACAAAAATAAAATTTTCAGGGTGTGGATGCCGGCAATGGATATCATCCATACACGACACCGTCGCTATATGCGTATCTCCAATTGCTAATTTTCCTGAACGCACTGGCGTGCCTAACGGTCTGGTCAGAGAAACTAGAACAGGAACTCGATAATATGAAAGATGTCAGTTTGCAAATGTTCCTAATTTCCAAAATTACAAGCTTAAAAAGCAGAAAATTAAAAAAATTCCAAAAATTCAAACCACAAATATGTGTCAATGATACTTGAAGGTATTTACATTTTAGGAAAATTATATGCACCAACGAGAAAACGACTTTAATGTATCATTTGGGAAATAGTTATAGAAAGGTTGCAGAAAATAAATGGTAAGCTCAAAGTGACTCAAATAATTGTGCATTTACATAGATTATGCGATACGACAATTACAGCGAATTGCATTAGCGTCATCATATATCTGAGTATTATCTTTATCCATATGACAGAGATTATAACTGTTACTATAACAGAACTTGGAATATAATATATATCAAATGCTCATTCATATTACATATGAGATAGATTCTGCTATCCAAGTAACAAAAAAACAAACAACAATGACAGCAGAAGAAAATAATGAGATTTTATATGAGGGCCACCGAAAGAAATCAAATGTTTTCTGAAAATTCTACATTTTACTACTTGAGATTTCAGATGACGATATAAATAACGGAGGATAACCAATGTAAACAATTTTTTTTGAGCAAAATTTCTAAATCACTTATTAAGGAAATACCGTTGCTCTAATTGGGAAACTTTCCCTAGAAAATTTATCCGCTTTTAATCAAGCTCAGTTATGATCATGTTCTAAATCTTACTTTTCAATTGTATTCTTTAAATAAAATTCATCTTAGCCCATCTCTGTTTTGTGAAAGACATTATTTAATCATTTTTGCTATTCGTCGATATATTTATTTTAAAAGTAGAAGTTTCTGACTTAATGCCGAATCAATGCAAATCTCTACTAATTGATGTCTGTTTTACGGGAACCATATTAAATTCTATTATAACTTTCTGACTTCGAAAAGCAAATTAAAAAACACCTTAAAAACATGAAAAACTCCACTACTAATCGTCATCATCATCATCATAACCACCAGCCTCACTTCCTCGCACCTTTTTCTTGACTCCTTTGGTCAATTTTGCAACAGTCATGCCAGAACCTCGTAAGTAGGAAGGCCAGTCGTATTCCAGTACTTTGCTCCTACAAATGTACATAATTATGAGTAATGGTGAAGCAAAAAAAGAAAATAAAAACAGAAAAACAGTTTGACAACTCAGGCAGAGAACTAAGTATAAGAAAAAATTGATAAAAATACCATGAAAGTCTCCATTCAAGCATTTCGGTCCTGAATTCATCTTTTCCACCCAAATCACCAAATCCTCGTATGTAATCAACCGTCTTCGCATCAATTATTACAACGATTGTTGGAATAAGACGGATTTTGAGTCGTGTAGTGAGAAATGGAAACTGAAATCTTCTTAAATTTGACTTATTCGTAATTTTAATTCCAATCATACCGCAACTTGAAGCATACGTTTTCAGAGAATAGCCTGGAAAATTTTTGGAGAAAGCAGACTCTTTTAAAACTATAATAATGTACTAATGATTGTAACCAATTGTACTAAGACATTTGCAACAAAATGAGAAAATGACAAGCAATTAAATTCAGATTTCAGTAACTATACAAAAATACCAGAATAAGCTTAGTTCTATGAATTACAACGTGATATTTTGACAGAGCTACTGAAATCCTTACCTTCTCAGCATTGGCATAAATAAATCGAATTTCCAGATATTTCGGAGCAATTTTTTTCAGATGTTTATCGACAATTTTACACCGTTCAGTGGCAGGTAAATAAAAGTGACACACAACTTTAGCAGATTTCTTTGTAGCGTCGAAAAAACTTCGTTCATCTGAGATTTCCTCATATACGCCGTGACCATTTTGAAGCCATTCCTCGAATAGAAACGGCTAGGTTTTTTCTAGGATTATAGAAGAAAACTCAGTTAATAAAGGTGAAAGACAAAGATTAAAATGTATGGAACAAAAAGATGAAAATCAGCAAATCAAGACTGATAAGTAAGCAGTGAAAGCTTAAGATAAATGTTGAAACAAAGAAAAGTGTCATACTGGTTGTCAATCAAAACTTGCCCGTTTTTGCAACTGTTTTTTTTAACTCTTGAAGACGTTTCTTTCGTATAGCTTCCAAATCGTTTTCATCCAACCCGTCGTATTTTTCTATCTGGCGATCAACTTCTTCCTCAGCTATTGTAACTACTTTAAGTAACTGCTCACCAAGTATTTCTTTCACGGAATGATCCATCTGCCCTGAAACCGATGAACGGTGCCAGCACCCTTCAACAGTAAAGTTACAATGCTACAACGCAGAGGAACATTACTAGTAGAAAGTGAGGCTCCTTCTGATGGAAAGGAAAGATTTCACGAGAATAGACAGTCTAGATCCATTAAAACAGAAGAGCATCAGAAAATAAAAGTTTTGTGACAAAATTCAAAGCTAAAGGTCATCGAGTCCAGGCAGGATTGACAACAACTAAAAAGAGCACCACAATTTATAAAATTAAAAAGAAATCCTGCAGGAAGGAGTGACCATGTCGCGCAATTACACCCATACTGAGATCAAATATAGTGCAGGTTTTCTGGAGACAACAAAGATTCATACAAGCCGATTGCACCATCTGGGAAAAAATCAGCCGTCCGATCCCAGACCAAATTAGGGGCATACTGCAGGAACTAAGGAAATGAATGAAAATTGGTTAATATTCAAGTCGCCGCCGCGTCCTTTCCTTTTATCCCGAAAGCAGGTTTCCTCGTAGAAATCCAGTGAATGTTTTGCTGACAAGATCAGGCAATGCCAGGAATCGCCAGGGATAAGCGCTGTGAAAGTGCCTTTTCATTTATCTCTCGTCTAAAATATAAAGACAGGCTCACTTCTTAACGGCCCAGTAACACTCCCGCACAAAATTACGGTAATTTAGAGACCCGGTATGCTACATCCAACTAACATTCAGCACAGTCTTCCGCACATGCTTCCTTTTCTCCTTTTCATCTAATTTGGTAATTTTTTCTTAATTTTGTTTTTGATTGAAAGTGTTAACCTCCAAGTCACTCTACATTACAAAATCTTTTTCTGCTCTGACATTTTTTCGGACAAGTAGGTTTTACGACTATTTTCTGGATAACTTTTGGTAGGAATATTGAATTCCCATCCGAATGAATTGTGGCGGTCGTTCCATCCCTTGGATCGGTATCTTCATTCCCATTATCACATCCTTTTCTCCGACTCTAAATTCCAGTGAAATACACAGCTGCCTTCTGTGGCTTTTTGACATTTATTATTAAGATTTTAATCTTTTTGGATACGAGGTATTAGCATTCATACAAATGTCACAGAGCAGATTAATTAAAATGTATTTTCATCTTCTGATATCTACATTTCGGGAAGTTGTAGAACGAAGCTGTTGTAGCCATAAGACTCACTTCCATCTTCACCTCCTCATTTTTGGCCTATTTTTTAAAAAAAAATCGGAACTTATCCATTTTTACGAAGTTTTCGTTTGTCATTTTTGCGAAACAAATAAACTCCAATTTTCTTTTTTTTTCAAAATAGTAAAAAAAGGAGGTAAAGATGGAAATTTCCACTTGTGTTTTAAAAGGACATTTTACCGAAGACTTTTGTATTTCTTTCTTGATCGGGGTAAGCTGTTATTGCTTGTATTTGCATTTTTTCATCTGTCACCACGATTTTACTAGTTCAAATGCTTGCTCTGCTTGATATATGTCGCAAAAAAAATCAGTTGGTTATCTCTTGGAACAATAGTAATACTTAATTTCAATCTGTCATCTAATCAACCTGTGCCGGTAAGGAAATAGTATTTCCATCCTAGTTAGTGGCAGGTCTAAACTGACACTAAGAAGCTGTGGTCGGCTCTGCCAAATGTCAGTGACATCTGAAACTTTGTACAGCGTTTCTATGAAAGTGGAATTGATTTCACAGCTAAAACAGATTTTTCGAGAAAAACTTTGTTTATTTTATTTTTCCTTTAAGCTCTTTGATAATGGTTTTTGAATTTCATGGTTGTTGTGATTAAATGTGAAATTCTCAACTATAACTTTAACTAGCATTTCAGATGTCGTTGGGATTTGGCAGAGTCGAGCACAACTTCTCAGTGTTAGTTTAGACCTGCCACTGACTGGCATGGAAGTACTATTTCTATCTAAAGTTAGTGTTTTTTGATTGATTTTCATTGATATTAGCCATTCTGCAATGAGCTGTAGAGTAAGTATCTCGAGCTATATAAACTAGTTAGAGGTGATCTCGAGACATATGAACTAGTAACGAAAAAAAAAACAGTTATATAACAATTTATTGATGTAAATAGCTTTCTTCAGACTAAGAATGAAAATCAATCAAATCAATTAAGGGAATAAAGCAGAATTTTGAGCATCTACTGAAAAGCGAGACAAGGTTTATAAACTCTCATTTTGAAATCGGCCAGATTTCAAAATGAAAAAAATTATTTATAATTAGTCATCCTATTGATGATGACAAAATATCATCAGATTAATTTAAAATTCTACTCAACAGGTTATCGTCTAAGCAACATATATTTTGGTCAACATTTCGAGGTATGTGTTGCCTACTCTCATCTTTCTTGCTTACATCGTTTAATGTAGGGTTAGTTGCATACTTATTGTTATTTATAATTAGTCACTAAGGGTCTTAAATCCCTGCTAAGTGGAAGTGTTGACTGGATAGTTAGTTGGTTACTTTCTAGTAAAGCTGATGGTTTATTCCGTATTGTATTCTGGAGCATTCCGGAATTAATTATGTATTTCACTAAACCATGATGATGCAAGTACAGAGTGGAGAACAGTGCTTTTTTTTAACATATTGGTACTTATTACTTTTAAGTTGGTAAGTTTAGGGAAAAGAATGAAGTACATCGAAGGAATGTTTGTTGACTTCCTTGTTTTGCTGCTTATCTTTCATATTGTCATACTACTGAGTCATTTTCGGTTCCTGGCTAGCTCTCTTCCTCTTTATAATTACTTTTTTATATCAACTTCTATCATACTTGTGCTGTCCCTGTGATCATCCCTTTTATTCTTCCTTTTTTCTGATACCTTTGCAGTATAACAATGCAAGTGGTTGAATGAATGAATAACAGATCGTCAGCCTTTTCATCTCTCCGAAGAAAAAAATAGTATTAGTAGTAGCAGTAGTAGTAGAAAATCGCTCTTTAGAAAATCGTTTTGGAAAATTGTTTTATAGAACAGAATCGCTTGTTAATGAATGAAAATGACCAAAATGTTAGTACTGCAATGCTAGTGCAATGGAAAGGCGCATAATGGAAAAAATGGTCAAGCAAAAATGAGGATGGCGATACGAAAAGCCAGCAATTTATATCACTTCAGAAGAAACCGGCAGGGTTTCTGCGAAGAACGTTCAGCTTTCAGGTTTTGTTTTCATATTTTCAATATTCTATTTTTGAAATCTGATCGAGCTTAGCCCATTTTTTGAGTTGATATAGACTATTTGATGTGACTCTTTTTTGTCGCTTTTGTTAGAGGATATGTTTGGTATATATCACAGATGGATATATCACAGATGGAAATGGTATATATCACAGATGGAAATGTTATTAACTTTGTTTCTCTAAATCACTAAAAAGTATTTTTTTTTCTCGCAAATTCTTACTGGTTGCTGCAATCCTTGAAGCAAAAGGTCATGTGTTTTTCCATTTAATGCAACCGAATTCGTTTTTTCGAAGCCTTTTTCGAAGTTGCTCTCAGCAATTTCAATTTTCAGCTGTAGTATTTTTGAAATTTTCACAAATTCCTAAGTTTCCAAGGAAATTGTCGACAATCCTGACGGAAGATATAGTCGATTTGGAAAGGAAGCAAAAGTTAAAAACAATTTCAAAAAGAATGTATGGACTGACAATTTTTTTCCTCAAAACTTAAAAGGTTGTAACTTGTCAGCTGCTGATTCTGTGTAGGAAGAAATTCGTTCAAATTGTGCATCTTCCATTCCTTCAGCTAGTTGCTTAGCTACATGCTGCGATAATGTTTGTTTGATCGAATAGTAGCCAGCAAAGATTACGACATCATTATCAACAGCCATTTGTGAAATTGTATTCTCTACTTCGTTGTTTTATTATGTTCCTAAATCGCTGTTATTTGAAATTAAATCTAATAAAAATTGAGTACTAATATGAGAAATGACATAATTAGATGGTATTAGTAGTAATTTTATTTGATGCAATTGAAGAGATGTTGTTTTCTTTTCGGTTTTTTCTGAATAACTTCATTATTTTGCGTCCAGTTTTAGTCGTTTAAAAAAAGAAAAAACATTTTTTTTTTTGAAATGAGATTTAATTTACAGGTTGGAAAGACGAAAGAGTTATTTAAGCTGGATTCTGAAACTAGCACGATGATCAAACTTCGGTACAAAGATACTTCAAAACATGTCATTTGGCGAGATTGCGCACTACCTGAGGAGTACAATCGGGGTTATTTGGTTGGTGGTTGCTTTTGTATTTTCAGAAACACTTCATTATTAATGATAAAGCTTTTGCGTTTCAGAGACTACTACTTTCAAAAAACCTTTTAAATATGGAGTAGTTTGTTAGCCTCCCGCTATTTCCTTGGCTAAGTTTACCTTTTCTACTCTAGCAAATGTTTAATCCTATTTCCGCTTCATGAGAATGAGCTGAACAGAGTGCAGAATAGAGAACAGAGTAGTTTTTTCTTTTTCATTTTGTTTAATGTGAACATTTTTTATTTTATTCATTGTAGGTAATCACCAGCATCATAAAAAAACGAACTTTCCAGACATTAAATCCGGATCATTCCAAGCGTGCAGCCATTCGCTACAATCATGCTGGTAATCATCAGGCGACAATTCTAAGACTTAAAGATGGTAGGACTATTGGAAGAGATTTGGTGATTGTGCCGTTTGGTTCACCAAAAACATTTCCAAGAACTAAGGTCTGTACTATATGTAGCAGAAATAATGAAAACACTTCCGCGTTTTTCTCAATTAGCACGTTTTTAATTTGTAACTCATATACGAGAATAGTTATTTCAAACTTCTTAATGAAGATTTTTTAAATGAATCATCGACTTGTTGGAAATCAAATAGTTTTAAAAAATAATTTTATTCGAAATTCGAGAGTTTTCACTTAAATGCATTGAAATTTTTTGGATTGAAATTTCGACTGATCTTTATGAGAACCTTTGATTTATGGTTACAACATTCGACAGCTTAATTAGAAAGCTGCCGAATGTCTTTTTTCTTTCGCATTTGGTAAATTCCTTTTGGAAGTAGGTGTTTTTCTTATTTTTAAATCTTTTGCTTCCTTCGGAAATTCTTTCAGTTGAACAATAAGCTCTGGGTTATATATTGTTGGATGTTCTAGAACAGTCCACCCTTTTATTTGTCTCTTAGTTCTTCCCTTCAGAATCATTCCAAGAATTTTGCTTATTAGATTTTTCATTTCAGCATCAAAAACAGCAATTGTTTTACACTGTTTATCCTGCCCGAACTTTGCCATCGACCAATCTGGCAAAGACTGAAGAGGAAAAAGGAACCAAGCGAATCACGCCAATAGATTCGAGAGCTAAAATCAGTGAAAAGATAGTGGATATTGAGGATGATCGGACACCAGTCCCGAAGCGGGTAATCAATTCGGTGAGACGTTCCGAATCTAGTGACGAAAATGAACCAATTGTTAACTTGACAACGCCACGAGTAGATGAATCTGGTTTTTATGAGGGTGATATTGCCGACCATGACGATGTAGAACCTGATTTGCAAGTTTGGAGGTTGTAGGTTATAACAAACAGTTAAAGTTCATGAACTATCCCCGTTTTACATGGAACTCTTCGTTCCGAGTTTCTCACCTAATAACTTGGGGGATGCAGTATGGTAGCCACAATTACATATGCTCAACATGAAATGAATTTACTATAATTTCATCACGTTATCTTCATTTTTTTGGGCTTAAGACATAAGGTTCTGAACTGTGGATTCGATAGGTTTTTTTCTTTTTAAACTACATTGTGAGAATTCTTTTTCCTTCTCCTAAAATTAGATTTGGAATTATCAGAATAATCTTTGATTTCTTTGATTCATAAAATGTTGAAAAGAGAGAAGGACAAGGATAAACTTTGGTGTTGCATTATTTTTAAATTTTTAATGTGTTAGGGTTGTTCATCTTAGTTATTGTAGCAGAATGTAAAATGATGAAGAAAAGCATTTATTTAAGGAATATTTGAGAGTAGACTTAAAGCATGTTGACCCAACATAAATCGAATGCACTTTCTATCGTAACGTCAAATTGAAATATATTTTTTAATCATCTGGCATTTCCTATATTTTTTGGAATATATTTTATCTGTTCTGAAGATTTTGAAAAAAAAATTTTATGTGGTATTAACAAAGTTACTAAAACGTCAAAATAATGATTGGTTTTGTAGGTAGCCATTAATAAAATTTTATCCAGTTTGAGCAGAGTTTTGTTTCTCATTTTGTCTATCTATGATTTAGCAGTCTCATTGTCTCCATGGTAGAAATTATCGATTCTTACCAACAATTTTGTGATATATTCCATCATAGTATTAGATTGAAATGCACTGGAACCAAAAGGAGGCCCTTCATAGGTACAAGTTGTTCTTCAGTTCATTTTTGAGCTTATTTTCACCTCTAGTTGTGAGTTGTGAATTTTTCCGTGTACGTATATAAATGTTGTCGTTCTAATCTTGTTAATTTTTATTTTCTATTATTTTCAAATTAAATTTATTTGTCTCTTCTACGTACTGCAAACTCTTTTGTCCCGAGGAAAATTTGATATCAGAAGTATATAATGGGTGAATTTTATATAATATATATATATATATACTGTTGATAACTTCGCTGAAGGCTGAGTTTTATATTGCAGTTTGGTATCGGTAGCTTTACTACTGATAGGCTAAGAAAAACTATCATTGCAAGCGGAGTTGTTTCAGAGCAGAGGGAAAAAGAAGTGTTTGGTCATATAATGTTCAATACTGGAAATTTTGAAATTTCAAGAGGAATTTAGAAGTTTTCGGACGTCAGCAATGCCTGTCATAAGAAGTTGTTGGTCGATGTTTTTTACGAATTTTTTTGGCCTGTCAAAAAGACATGGGGAGATGACAACAAATTATAATTTCGCATTAGTAGCTTAATAATCACCTTTTTGGAAAAAAAAATGAATTGACATTTAGGCAAAGGCTTATACCTTTATAAAACTGATACCGTTCTAATTCACTAATGTTAAATTACCATGTTTTTTTCAATTAAGCAATGATATTTGACCTTATGTAACGTGAATAAAATGTAGTTTTGAACATATAAAGCGAGTAAAATGATATAGGACGCATTCTGGAATTTCCTATAAATCTGTTGGAAGCAAAATAAACTCGTTTAATTTGGTTTAAGTGATAAATTGTAATTGGTACGATCAACACATTTTATTATATCTTTGTGAATTCAGTGTTTACTAAAAGCAGAGGACTACAACATTTTGAGCAGGAAACTTTTTCCATTGGTTATTTTGATTTCACTGGATACATCGATTATTCTTGTGTAAATTGTATAGTTAAATACCCAAAACTGAGAAGGATAAATTTTAACTGCCGTAAAATTTTTAAAATCATTTTTACAGGACGGAAGAGCAAAAAGGCGAAAGATTAGATTAGAGAGGTTAGCCAACTTATTTATTTGACAAATCTTTTCAGCTGATTGTGTCATTCACCTGTCGTATACGTGGTGTAACGCGAAATGCTAGTGATATCGTAATCATATTTTTCCATTCATTTGTTTCGTTTGTTTATTTTCGATTCCTATTAAAAACTCATGCATCGGAGACTAAATTCTATTGAATTATCGAAAGAGATGAAATTTTGTGAGAACTAAGGCCGTTTTAGTGTACCATTATTAGCACTACTCATAACTGTCATAATTCTTTATTTTCTTAACTTAAAAAAAGTAACTGAAAACTGTTGTCTGGCTAACTGACAAAAATTTTGGCATTCATTATGATCACAAATGCTGTCATCACCCTAGTTATTGCTGGACTAAACACTCAAAATACGGAACTTAAAAGTGACCAAGTGAACTCTTAGCATGATTGAGAAATAATTCGTATCATTTACACTGATTACCGAGATAAGATGAATGGTTAATGCTTCCTTTTGATTTGTTCACTCAGTTCAGTGCAGATTAGCTCTGTTCTTAATTTGGAATTAATTTGGAATTTGGAAATCTAGTGACATCTAATTGTAAGTCGATATAAATTACATCGTAAACATAGTTAACTCGAAATAAAAGTGAATTCCAGATCTCGTTTAACGGGAACGAAATGAAGTAAAAGTAGCTTGGTTGGAACTAATCGTTATCATTATCGTTTGATGATCATTATACATTTTATCACTCATTTTCTTGTGCTTATAAAAGTTGAAATGATTTTCTGATTTTGAATGAAGTGAAGTGGACGTTATAGTTATTTATCACTAGTGTTGCAGTTAGAATTGAAGGATAGAATAAGAGAAAGGAAGAGAAAAAAATGAATTCTGGAACAAAATATGTTTTGAAAATATTTTGATAGAAAAAAGAACGTCGTGTGCAAAATATTGCGGAAAGATTGAAGCAATGTATATATATATATATATATATATATATATATATATATATATATATATTATTACTTACTTAACTTTAC